ACTCTCTGCTCCAGACAACTCTCGTGTTTCAATGGAATGGAATGAACCATGTGGTTCAAAGAAGCTAGACATTCCGAACCAAGAGGGACAATGGGATGGATTGTATACATCACTTAGGGCACTAGTCTCAGTAAGTTAACTTTTGATTAATTTTTTTAAGATATGGATAGTCAATATGAGTTTTCTATTGTCCTTTGAAACTTTGTGGGGTACAACATGACATAAACTTAATTTTACTTGTATATAGTATGGTTTACATCACTAATAATGATAGTCGATGTAATGTAAATTAACTTTTTGTTAAATTTATTTTGATACATGTAGTTGTTCTGTGATATATCGTATGAGAGTCCATGATATAAAAATTTTACCATTATAGAGTTTTTTTTTAATTCACTTTTGTGAGGTTCAACCCTTAGTTTTCAAATGCCGATATCCGCATTAAAGGATGGATGGTAACACATAGGATGAATGATCCGTAAAATACATTGTGAGGCACTCGATTTCTTCGTCTTGATTCTTGAAGCATATTTGATAAGCTTGGATGTATTTATGAAGTACACACCTAAACTTCATTTGTAAGAAGTTACAACTAGACAGGTTATGTATAAACATAATATATATATTCCCAATTCTTTGACTTTGACAATAATTCAGAATTGCCCATGCTTTAATGATGAGATATACTAGCATTGATAATTTGTGATTGTAGAAAGTTGTTTCTCAATTGAGAAAAAGTATTTTAGATGAGCTGCTTGACCAGGATCCAATATCGTATCAATTACCTGAAAATAATGAGAGGATAAATGTTTCGACCAATAATATAATATTATTTCAATGATTTGTTTGTACGCTATTCACATATGATTCTGGAAGATTTGAACAAACATTTCTTGAGTTGAATTGTATGGTGATCGATAGTCAACATTTCATCTTTTATTCATATAAATGCACGCTTTTTATTAGTAAGTATTTGTAACCAATGCTCACAACAAATGACAAATGATCAAATCCAAAGCACAGACAAATCCATCTTCATCAATGGAAGTCAAGACCAGTTCCAAAACCACACTTGTAGGGGAAAGGACAGTATCTTTCCTACTCCCCTGGATTGTCTAATCGGCATAGAGTTGGACGGGGTAGCATCTTGAATGTGTTCCTTTTGCTTTTATATTGAATGATATAAATATCGCAATCTATATATCCAATTGTCTAATTGTTTTCATTTTTGTGGTGTGATTATTATCTATTGATTGCAGAACATCCAACATCAATCTTCATTTAAAGAGAGGCTTCAAGGGTGGAATATTGCATGCAAACAATGTGCAAATGGAAAATTGGACATGGTAATTGTATATTCAATAAACTTCATTTCTTCTGCTCTCCTTAATTAGATAGACGATTCGAAAGAAGTAACTTAGATTCGACTGATTTGGTTTCTATAAACATGGCAAGGAGATGAAATGGATTATAGTGATGTATGTTAGCCGAAAGGATTAATAAAAACTCAGTTTTACATTATCGCCTATTTATGATTAACTGCATTGAAATTTTTTTACTACCTTTGATGAGTAATAGCTTTGTACATGACTATCTCTAAATTTTCGCATGGTAATGAAGACAACCGAAATCTATTATCTTTGCAGAACTATCGTCATGGACAGTCAAGAAGGATGTTTCGCTCAATTGTTGAGGTTGTCGAGTTTATAATGGAGGCTTTGATCGATAAAGAGACACCAGGGAGTAGTTCTCTGTCACGCCCCGAACCCCACGGCGCGCGACAACCCAACCGAGGTCGATTCAAGCGCGACGTCCCAGGACGCGTCGCCGACCCAACACCCAACACAGAGAATCATGCACGCGCGGAAGCAACATAACACTCGTACAAATTTAAATCCACATAACCAAGGATAGCAACACAACAAACAACATGAACAAATATACACTTGCATTAATAACGGGAACATATACAATATTCATATACAACATGAACATCAAAAATCAAAAGCGGGTCAATGGCCACTTCTGACAAAAATGGGTAAGTGGCCCGGGCGGTCAGGGGTACTAAAACTAGGTGGGGCTCCGGTCAAAAAGGTACTGGCCCGACCTATCTGTAACTAAGGCTAAACCTACGGGACCCAGTCCGGGTCGGATCCCGAGGACTCGGAAGAGCTATCAAACAGCTCATCCTCGGAGTCCATGGAATCCAGCTCAGACTTGGCCTCTGCCGGCTCCTCCTCTGAATCCACCTCCTTAGGCTCGGGGTCCTGCTCCATCGGCTCTGACTCCTCGTCCGACTCCATCGGCTCCAGATCAGAATCCCAGTCCGCTGGCTCCATATCCATCAGGTCAAACTCGTCAACCTCCCAGATAACCGGCCGGCGGCCAGAGCTGGATGTGACATTTCGAGATTTCGCTCATTTGGGATTTATGAAATGAATTATTTTATTAATGTGCTCGTAGCTAGTTCTCACCCGGAACTGATCATTCCTGAGATACTAATCAGTAGGGAAATGCTAATTAGGGATTTAAAATTCGTATGACTAAAGATAATTCAATCGTGAATGGACTTTCGACCATAAAATTGTCGAGGTGATATTTTGAGCCACTGTTGGCCGATCCAAGGATAGTTAGGGGTCAGCTCGTCATTGTCATAGTAGTGGATCGCGGGTGATTCCGCTGGACGGCGAAATAACTTGATGAATGATCCTGAACCTATACCAAATGATCGTGCCCCTCGGATCTAGCGATTGATCCTTGCGATTTTAATGACAACCGAAGTCATTACGGTCTGAATAAATTGTACGTGACTCGATTTAGTATCAGTCACGGGTCGTACAGGCGAATTTCCCAAAAGCCACCCGTTAGTCTGAGAAACGCTCGAGTTACGTTATGAATATATAATTGGAATATTGAGTAGAGACCAAACCAAGCGTCAGAAAATTCGGAAAGTCACGGCAGGGCCTTTGGACGACGTTGTAATTGGAACGTACATCTCTGAATTTCTTCGGATTTTTCAGAAAAGTTCGATTTCGGCGAGAAACGGAGAAAGTGACCATTTTACCCTTGGAATTTAGTAAATGGTTAGTTTTAAAGGGCAAGGGCATTTTGGTAATTTTTCCTTTGGACTTTTTGAGAAATTACAAGTATACCTTTGGATATTTTTGGTAAGATTCGATCTGGGCCGTTGATTTCAAGATTGGATCGAATCTGGACCGTTGGATTAAAAAGATTAGACGAGGGCGTTTTGGTCATTTGCCGTTTTGGTCAAATTTAGTCCAAGTTTATCCTCTCTCTCTCCTCTCCCCTCCCCCATTTGGTCCCCCTCTCTCTCCCGTGAAACCCCCTCCACCGTGAGCCCCTCTCCCCCGTCGAACGCCGCCCCTTGGCCGCTCGGATCGCCGTCGTCCGTACGCCCGCCGGCCACCATCTCGCCGATCCGCCGCCCTTTTTCTCTCCCCTCTCCCTCTCGGCCTCCCCTTGGCCGTGAGCCCCACCGGCCACCGCCCAAGCCGCGCCGTCGCTGCCCAAGCCGATCACCGCCCGCCGGGAGCCGTACACCGTCGCCGCCGTTCCCGATTAAGTGCCGCCGCTTTCCGTTCTAGCCGCGATAGTCTAGAACGCAAGTAAGTCGCGCTCTAAACCCAATTTAGGACTTCGGGTATCGACGGATTTTGGGCGAAATCGGGTTTAAATTTAGTGCGATTTTGCATGATTTAGGAGTGGAATTAGGTGGCGGGCCTTAGGATTGAATTCGGATAATTTTTATTGGAAATTGGAGGACAACAGTGAGCTGTGGACTACTGTTCACAGGGCTGTGATGGGCTGATCGGGATGCAAGTTGGATTTTTAGAACCGAGAATTAATGGCGAGAAAGTCTCGTGAAGGACCTGAGTCGATTTGAGGCCATTTGGTTAGAGAAAAATAACGATTTCTGTGTTTTACGTGCGTTTGAAATATAATTAGGTTGTGGTGGTGAAATTGAATGTGTGATTGTGCAATTGGTTGATTTAATTATGTCTGTTGGGTGCACACTTGGGCCAGATTGTTTTAATTATTAAAATTGGCCGTGTCGACTGCTGAGTGAGCATGGTTTGTGTATAATTGTTTCGTGCACGGGTCACGTGTGATTGACCAGTTAAGTGGCAAATGATTGTTGCATGTGTGAAAGAACGAGAAATAGTGCGTGGTACGATATGTGAGATCGTGGGAATTGTGCCGTCCTGAGGCGTGTACATTTACGCGGGACGATGCCCGGTATTACCGGAAGACTGCCAGCCTGAGGCGTGTATTTTAACGCGGGTTGCGTAGTAGGTGGTAGGTGTTGAGCCTGAGGCGTGTACGTTTACGCGGGCAAGAAACATGGCCTGAGGCGTGTACGTTTACGCGGGCCCGGAAGTATTGTGGAAAGAGGTCGCAGTGTACCTGAGGCGTGTACTGTAACGCGGGCCACTGGCGAGGCATGTGGAAACGAGATAGTGAGAACGGAATGAGTGCATGACATGAGAATTGTGCATGCTTGTGGTTGTATGTGATGTGCTTACCTTGTGATAATGGTGCGTGTGATTGTGTTTGTGAAATTGTCTGGAGGTACGTGATAGCCTAGGTGGGGTTTAGGGGTGAACTTGCTGAGAAGTGTTCTCATGGTTGTTTCAACCAATATTTTCAGAACCCTGACTTGAGCCATGAACCCACCGCCACCGCCACCAGAACGTTTTGGGGTACCAGTGCACACCGAAAATGAAGTTACAAAGTTTCCGATGGGTGATGGAATGACCTGGATTAAGCATACCACGACCGTTTTCGTAGAAGTAGGATTACCTCTTTGGGAGACCCACGTTTATACTGCCTGGTTCTTCCGGGATGCGGACGGGGCTGAGTTCCGACCCGTTAGAGGATTTGATGTTCCGTTTGATCTAGTTGGGGATTGGGACCCGACTGTCGTACCCTCGATTGATGGAGAACTTACCAGTACAGAGGTTAGTTTAGCGCAATCTGGGATGCATTCAGCACCCGCCGCACAAGGATCTTCAGAGGCTGAGCATGAACCTGAGCCTGAAGCATCGCAAGCTAAGGATGACCCGATGAACATAGACTTAGAACCAATCCCCGAAGAGGAACCACAGGAAGAAGAACCAGAGGAAGTGGAGCCCGAGGCTGAACCCGAGAACGAGACTGAAGAGTCAGAAGAGCCTGTGGGAGACCCGGAGTATATACTCCCGTTTGAGGAATACATGGATCCCAATTTCGTGCCGGAGTACAATTTCTTTGATTTTCTAGCCGAGGAGTACCAGAACGCTATTCCAGCTGAGTCGGGTGACATTGATCATCCAATTGTGATTGAGGCGGAGCCGGAGTCTTCAGAGGAGCAAACGGATCAGGGGAGTTCAGACTCCGGTGATGATGAGTCAGATTCTGAATGGACGCCTAGTAAGGGGCGTAGAGACTAGGGTTGGAGGTTCATAATTGTAGATTTTAGGAAAGTACCATTTTTGAGGTCTGGATGCCAGGTTACCGATCTTTTTGTATATCGGTAGTTTGTAATACGGTGTGCAAGGGTTTATGGTGGCTGTAAATTACGGTGGTTGTAAGTGCTGTGAATGTTGTATAAGGTTGTTAATGAAAATGTCAATGTATATTTTCCCTGAATGTTTCCCCAGTTTTAAATTGTCCGGGATTAATTGTGGTTTCCGCAGTTGCATTAAACCTCTGATGATTGTAATTGAGGTCGGCGATAACCTTGGGATGTCGCATAAATCGACTAGTGGCGGATGTCGCGAGCTTGAAAGGGTTCGGGGCGTGACACTGGAACTCCCCTCGGACGTGTAATCTGGGCTCGCCAGGTCTCCATTCTGACATTGGGGGTCTACCTCTCCTAGCCCGTTAAACGGGACGTCAAAAGTCCTGAGGGACCCGAAGGTCCCGGAATAGTCCCTAAAACACCAGGCTATATACTCGTGGGCCTGGAAATGCTGCTCGCCCACGTCGACCCAAACCGTAGTGAAATGCCTAATATAGGTATCCTCGTTCCCTATGGGGTACTCGGTCACGTCCCGGTCTATCCGAGACGGAATCCCAAAACGAATAGGTACCTCGGACATCTTCAAGGCCGGGGGTCTGAAAAGTTGGGTTTTAACAACAATGAGAACGAATCTCAGCTAGTAAAATCCCCTAAACCTAAACTAGGCTAACATGCACCTCCTGACAGGCAAACAATCACATGAACAATTCAAAATCAATTGACCTAGGCCCTCGGGCCAAGATCGAGCATACAATGGACCTTGCAGGTTAGGCATATAATAATAGCAATAATGGCACGTACGCGACAGGCTTAGTCACACGTACGCCATGCACATGCTCATGCTCGATAATGCCTGCATCACACACGAGTCACCGACACTCACATGCTTGCACACTTGCCAATGTACTCTAGCACACATATGTCATCAATATGCTCATGATCATGATCTGGCTCAAATATTCACATCAGCACACTACTCAATTCTTAATTAGAATTCGACCAGCGTAAAACGCATCAGGTCTGACCCGCGTAAAACGCATCAGGTCTATATCAATTCCAACACTTCCTGGCCAGCGTAAAACGCATCAGGCGCAACACCGATCTCCTTGTACGGACCAAAACCCGCGTAAAACGCATCGGGCTGGCCGTCTTTCGGCAATCCGGGCATCGTCTCGCGTAAAACGCATCAGGACGGGTTCAATACCCTGCGTAACACGTATCAGGGCTTTATGTGATCACACGTACACACAGTCAATTTTATCTGAACCCCGTGTAATACGCATCAGGGCAATTAGGCGATCACATGTTCATGTCAGGCACGCATACTTGCATGATCCTCATATCACGCCAATGCTCAGCATACGAAATGCGTGGCCATGCACAATGAGCACTCGATTTCACATCGGCACATAATCACATCACGCCAAGTCATGCTCAACAAATGCCACGACGTGCTCTAGCAACGATTCGACATGCTCAATTTAGCCATCACGTGCCCAATTAACATATTAGCATGCCCAATCAAGCAATTCAATTAATCTTGCATGGCATAAAATACACACATAATTCGTGCGACTAGGACAACATAATTAGGCACACTCGAGGCCCGCCATGCTAGTACATTCTCGGCCACACTAAGTACGCGACATGGCATCTCAAAATCAATGTCCAATCAAGCATAAATCAACCACCAAATGGACAATTTAAGACATGCTCGGAATTCAACAATTGAACCCTAAACTAACCAATCTCGGGCCAATTAATTCCTAAAATTCCAGCCATCAAACAGCCCACTCTTGGGCACTAAATCACATTGAAATCAACACATTAGACTCCCAAATTATCACATAATCCATCACTAATCTAATAGCCCACTAATCATCCCTAATCCACCTTAATTAACCCCTAAATTACCTTAATCCTATCTAGAAAATGCTAATTAGCCTAATTAGGGTTTAGGGACTAATACTCACCTAAATTCCTAAGCTCCAACTAGCTGAACAGGTGGGGAAATGGGCGGACCGAGTGGCTCACGGCGGCGCAAGCAGCGGCGTCGGGCGGCCTTCACGGCGACGCGAACGGTGGCGGCTTGCGGACGGTGGTCCACGGCGGCGAAGGGGAGGGGGATGCTGGTCGGTGGCGGACGGGAGGGAGAGAGGGATGGTCGGGATGGTGGTGGTGGTGAGGCGAGGTGGGTGGACGGCGGTGGTTCCGGCTCCGGCGGGTGGTGGTTCCGGCTCCGACGGGCAGCGGCTTGCTCCGGCGAGGGGCCTCATGCGCGGCCGAAGGGGAAGAAAGACAGAGAGAGAGAGTGGGACGGGGTGGTGATGGTGGTGGTGAGGCTAGGCAGTGGCGTGGACTGGCGGTGGTTCCCGGCGTATGGCGGCGGAGCTCCTCCGGCAAGCGGCCTCACGCGGCCGAGAGAGGGAGAGAGGGAGCTGGCGGGATTGAGAGAGAGGAGGAAGTTGGCAGGAGGTGAGGGAAGGAAATGAGGGAGAGAGAGAGACTAAAGTGCATTATTGGGGGGCATAGTGTTACGCCCCGTATCCTACGAAGCATGAACATCCGCGTATAGGTCGAAATGTGGTGCAACGCTCCCAGGAAGCATTGCCGACCCAACGCCCAATCAGAGATCAAACACGTACGGAAGCAACGTATATAAATAAATATATACACCCATACAATTGATCGCATGAAACTAAGGATAGCCAAGCAATAAACAACGATCAACGCAGAAAATATGTACATACTTATATCACTATTTTAAAACTCTTTTTACAGTGCTCCCAATAACTCAAATAAAACACCAACTCCTAGGAATAACCAAACAGCCACTTCTCCGATCTGCTCCGTCTCCACAGGGGTGCACGCTCAACGACCGCTGGATGAAATGCAGCATCCCAAAAAGTGGTGGTGTCCTCGGCATCCTACGGCTGGGGGTCTGAAAATGTTTCGGTTTACACAACCGTGAGACGAATCTTAGCGAGTACAAACCACTAATCCTAAACTAGGCTAACGTGCAATCTCCTGACCGACAGCACAAAACAACATAACCAACCAATTCATAAATAAACTCCGACCTAGGCCCTCTGACCCAGATCTCTTACCTGGCTGAACCTGCAGGTTATTGACAATCATGATTTAAATCAAGTCACATACGCAAGCACTCAGTTCACGCGTACGTCAAACGTATGCTCATACTTAATAATGGTAATAACGCGTGTCAATCACCGAGTCCCGCACACCCGCAAATCGGCCCATGCATTCTTATGTATGCAATGCTATCGTCACACCATATTCATGCCTCGGCTCACTAGCCCACACTGGCACCTTGGCACTTGCTCAATTTATCATTTATTACGACCCGCGTAAAACGCATCAGGTCTCTTCATTTAATCACAACACTTCGTGGCCCGCGTTAAAACGCATCAACTGGCCCAGTGTCTCTAGCCCGCGTCAAAACGCATCAGGCGCAACACCGATCTCCTCATGAACCAGAGCCCGCGTAAAACGCATCAGGTTGGTCGTCTTCCGGACGTACCGGGCATCGTCCCGCGTAAAACGCATCAGGACGGCACACCCCGCGTAACACGCATCAGGGCGAAATTGTGATCACACATACACACAATCAATTATTATCTGCACCCCGCGTATCACGCATCAGGGCATTTAGGTGATCACATGCTCATGGCAGGCACGCATTCTCGCACAATTCATCACACGCCTCGTTCCCGGCATTCACTATGCGTGCCATGAAATGCAAAACAATGCAACATGAGCATCAGCACAATTCAAGCATTCAGTTAATTTCATGCCGCAACAATCGTTCACTGGCCAATTAATACCATGCGGCTCAATTCCACAATGTGCAATTCAATAATCCAATCAAGCCATCATATGGCCAATCACACTCCGCACAAGTCGGCCACGCAGCCCAACAATTGGGTATAGAAATCAACCAGTTAATCAACCCGGGCATACCCAGCAGTCCAATCACATAATCCCCGATTAATCTGTGCTAGTCCAATAATTATTTCTAATAATCCCACTAAATTCCTTAGACTTAATTTCCAACGATCGATCCTCAATCCAATCCGAATTACACACTGGTACTACCTAATCCAGTCCAGACTACACCGATAATACCTAAGCCAACATGCCGAACACAATCATTCACCAAATCAACGAATTCAACGCATCCTTGGCACATTCAATATATTTCCATTTTGGTTTAACGAATCCCACATTCATTCGCACGTTCATTCCAAGGTAGTTCAATGCGTTAAAGGCCCGCCCTGGGCAAATCCATCTCAATAGTTGTTCTCACCACTTCGGGGTCATTCAATAGGATTTATACACGTCCTAATCATCCCCTAAAAATGCCTAAATTTTTGTCATTAGTCCATTATTCTTAGAATATTCAACTTGGGCACAAATTAGGCATTTTCGGTACTGAATGAACAGTACCAGGAAAAATTAACATTTAGGCACTAAACCACCTTTAAACCATCTCATTAAGGCCTAATCACCTACCCCAAACATCCAACCACCAAATACATATAATTAAACCTCAAATGAACTTAATTAACACTTGAATTGTCTAATTTCAAGCCTTGAATCATTGAATTCAATTAGTGCAAAACTTAGACAAATATGCACATTTTCGGTACTTTGTGAACGACTGGAACAGGGCTGTTTGAACACTAATCCACACTTAAATAACCTCATTAAGCCCTAATGACCTATCATAATCATCCTACACCCAAATAAACATCATTAGGTCCTAAATGAGCTTAATTAACCCCTAATTACCCCCCCTAAGAACACAATTAGACTAATTAAGGGTTTAGGGGTTTATACTCGCTTATTAGCGACTCGGGACGACGGGAACGGGCGGTCGATCACCGACGCGCGGTAAGGATCGACGGCGGCGTTCCGGGTGCAAGCCGGCGGTCACGGCGATGACGGAAACGACGATCCGCGGCTGATTCTGTTACGTTCGGAGTGGAACAGGGGCGTGTTAGGCCGAACAAGTGAGAGGGAGGTCCCAAGGTGCTTTGTGGCGACAGGCGGTGGGCGGCCCGGCGGCTCGGATGGTACTTGTTCCGGCGTGAACAGACCGGAAAATGCGTAACCGGAGGCTACGAGAACAAGAAACGGAGAAGAAGAAAGGAATTCTCGGGGGATTTGGCCGAATAAACTGAGAGGAGAGAGAGAGAGGGTCTGGTCAAAGTGAGTCAATAAGGTGTGGGTGGAATCCAAGTGTCAAGATCTAGGCCAATTGGACAATTTTGCCCTTGATCCAATGGCCAAGATTAATCCATATCCAATTATTTAGGGGTAAAATGGTCATTTGCCACTAACCCAAGGCTGACCAGACCTGGATTAACTCTAACCAACCTTGGTTAATCCCAAAATTAAATCCAAAATTCGAAATTGGCCAAATTAGCCCTAGGGGCATTTTCGTAATTTTTCGATCCCAAACCGAAATTCCAATTTTCGCACATACGTGTTCCATATGTGCGTGGCCAACATAATATGGCGTCTGATCTGCGAAATTCATTCTTTAAGCCCTCGAAAACTGACTGCGAAGTTTCGAGAATAAAATAATATTATTTTTCTAATTTTTGTCGAAATTCCAATTTTTGTCCATAATGACTTCCGGTATGCGTGGCCACCTAAAAATGGCGTCGGCCTCGAAAAATAACCTCGCTTGGCCTCGGAAATGGACATCGAGGTCCCCAGGGGCAAAATTGTAATTTTCCCCAATTTCTGTCGAAATTTCCGTTTTCATCCGTACTAGTCCCAAACATGCGTGGCCACTCTAAAATGACGTCCGTCTTGCAAAATAGTCGTAATTACCCTTGAAATTTTGATATCGAAGTTCGGGCTCAATATTGCGATCAAAATAACTCGTGTCGAAGTCTTAGGGCCTCTCACTAACGGGCGGCTGTTTAGGTGTTACGCGTATCGACCTAAGATTGTCCGAGTCATGATGGCCTCGAATTTCGAGAGAACGAGAGGAACTATCACTCGCACCGGGGGTCGTGATCGTTTGGATTAAAATCGGGGTTCGTTAGTCAGGCGTACTTTCGGTCGTGCGGAATCACCCGCGAACCGATCGTGCGTCGCTGACTATATCAACCTGTCATTCTCCTAAGATCGGCCTATATTGGCTCAAAATATTCCCTCGACGTTTCTCGAACTCGGCGCTCAATCGCGATCGGGTCCTCGGTCCACGTACCTGTTCCTATTTAGCCTTTCCCATTTGGTTAGTATCCCGTGATTGATCAAGTTCGAGCGAGACTTACTAAAATCAAACGAGAATTAATGCACACTTTATTGGTCCCGGTAACGGGTCAAAATTCAGGATGTTACACTTAGTGGGGTTGGTGAACAACTTCTACCAAAAGACCATCATGCCCTCCACTCAAGGGCTTAGATCAAATCAAACTAAAATATCCAAGGGTAGATTGGTCCACTAATTCTACTAATAAAATAAGGCTGAGCAAGACCCTAATATCCTCTAATTATATCTATAAAATTCGGAATTCAAGCATAGGGCCTAGGGGTAAAATCGTAATTTTCCGGTCCCGGGTCAAATTTCCAATTTTCGACTCTACTGATTCCAAATATGATTGGCCACACTTTTACGACATTGTCCTTGCAAAAATAGTCGCGCACGCCCACGAAATTCGACACCGAAGTCCGGACTCAATTCCACGATCGATCTTGCTCAATTTGCAGTTTTAGCGTCTCTCACTAACGGGCGGCTGTTTAGGAGTTACGCGTATTGACCTAGGGTTACTCAAGTCGTGACGATGTCAATCTCCCAGAGAACACGAGGATTTATCGCTAGTTCCGGGGGTCGCGATCGTTTGGATTAATTTCGAAATTGTTCGCCTCGCACACTCTCGGCCGTGCGGAATCACCTGCGATCCGATCGTACGTCGTTGGCCAAACCAAATCCGTCACTCTCCTTGGATCGGCCCACATTGGCACAAAATATTCCTCGTCGTTTCTCGGAATCGGACTCGATTCACGGTCGAGTTCTTGGGTCCACGTACCGTTTTTCCTAGTTAGCCATTCCCCATTGGTCAGTATCCCGAGAATGATCAGTTCCGGGCGAGAC